GAGATAGTTTTGAGAAATCGTGATCAGCAGCAGCCAAAGTGCTTCCTTGTGCAACTATTGAGCGTCGATTTCGCACACCTGTAGAAACTGCAACATCTTCTCCAATAGGAATCTTATGTTTATCATCCGCAGAAATTAAGCAAGCCCATTGACGGTACCGAATACAAAATTCTCTAAGATATCGGAAAAGTGCTGCGCAATAATGTGCGTCTTCACTACTTTTTTGAAGCATTCTTCCTTGCACTTTAAATTTTACTTTAAATCGACCAGTATAATACATTGCTCGGGTTGTAATAGCATTTGTAGGACAAAATTGAAGACGAATCCATTCGTCTGATGGAATATTAATATTGGAAGGTAATGGATTACCATAAACAGCCTCTAATCTTTCCACTATAGTTTCACGAAGATCACGAATTGACAAGGCCAATGGCATATATAGAATGGTTCCATGGCGTCGTTCGTTTACCGCAAGTAAGTTCTATTAAAATACTGTAGTTTAAAAAATAATAAAAATATACTAGTGATATGGGCTGGCCTGGTCGATTAATGGGTACGTATCACTTCGTAGAAGTTTATTTCACAGACACCTTGTTTTACAGACAATTAGTTCATATACAAGTTTATTTTAAAGACAATTAACTTACAGACAGTTCATTTTATAGACAGTTCATTTTATAGATAGTTAGGTTTATAGAAAATCTTTAATAGCAAATAACTTCTAAATCAGTGTTAAAGATTGTCTACAAAATGAAATGTCTATAAAATGAACTGTCTATGAAATGAACTGTCTGTAAATTAATTGTCTTTAAATAACTTGTCTATGAATTGATTGTCTGTGTAACAAGGTGTCTGTGAAATAAACTTCTACGAAGTGATAGGTACCCATTTAATATAGATATGAAGACTAAAAATTGTTCTAGCAATAGAAGTTGACCTGATTGATTAGCCTGAGTTTTTTTAGGATCGACCTTGACCATGATTTTTCCACCGGCCCGTATCACTAAAATATACATATATATAAATATAAAAACTTACTTGCTCATTAAAATAAGCTTCCATTTCATCCCAAAATGTATCAAATTTTGTTCCTTTAAATCCATTATTTGTCCGTAAATCGAATATAATATTGGGATCTGCCAATTCTAACATTAATCGTAATCTCTCTTCCACCTCACGACTAACTGCATCCGAAGTTACAGCTGCATTTCCAGTCAAATCAAAATGAAGCATCTGTAATACTGCTGGTGTAACTTTCTGAATATATGAATACTATTTTATAAAGAAAAAAGATTATATATTATAAATGTAGTGATATTTAAATATTAATTGTATTGTTATCATACCTTATTAAGCACATTTTTTCTTATTTGCCGTGTAAAATAACGAGGTAACTCTTCATGAATTTTAGCCAACATGCGTGCTTTTAGTGTTTCATCTTGCTCGTTATTTGACATTTCATTTTCTCTCCATATGTAGTTAATTGTTCCCAAATAATTGCCCTGATAATATCTAAAAAGTCAAAATAAGTTTTATTTTAATATAAATCATATAAATCTTATTAGATAAAGATTTTTAATTCTAAAAAATCGAACACGAATATTTTTTGAAAAATCGTATTTTCGGCAAACTTTTCGGTATTGCTAAATTTTTTATATAAACCCCTTCAAATAACTGTATTGTATGATGTATTTTGATGAAAAGAGTTCAAAAATTTCGGCAATAATTTCGGCAAATATGAAAATTAACTTTAGCACTATATAAGAATAATTTTGGCTGCCTAAATGCCGTAATTACTTTTTTATTAAGGTAGACGCCCATATATACACGAAACTACACTATCAAAATACTAACCTATATATACCAATAGAAAATGTAAGCTGCAACTCTTTCATAAATTTGTATCGGCTTATAGCATCGACTGGAAGATATTGTTAAATTTCAATATGTTCGTAAAATGATTTTTCAGATAATAGATCGTCCAATTGAACATATTCATCTTTAAGTTGATGAGGTTCACAAGCACTAACTCGGTACATGGTACTATTATTTCCAGGACTATGGGCACTTTCATTGCTATGATGAAGTTCATTCATACTAGCAGTTGTTGCAATTAAATAGTCCGAATATTTTTTCAAAATTTCAATTAAAGAAAGAACTGCAGACATTACTTGATTCCACCTATCACTACTCGCCCATGGTTGACTTATAGAAATCTCAAGAGAACTCGAAAGATGCACAAGTTTTTGTTGAGACAATGGATTCTTTTTATGATGACCAGTATAATAATACTCATCATATGATTTACCATCCTGATATGTTTTCAACTGTGCAAAAAGAGCTGGTAGATGATATAAACATGCACTTAGTGTTGAAAGATGTGGATCAATATACCAAAGAGCAGTTGCAATACGATTTACGAATGCTTTTCCTATTGTTTCATGTAAACCACCTGTCCATCCAACCTGTTGAGCTTTGAAAAGTTCGATAATTTCATTATAAAGTCGATCATAGTTATTACGCTCATTACAATGACGAGGAAGCAAAGGCTGCCTTGAATTTGCCATTAAAATGCTGAAAGCATCTGGTTTGTCTTGAATTGAAACTGAAGTGTCTAAATTTGTATTGGAAGCAAGACAAAACTTGACTTGCATAAAACCTAAAACTTCAAGCATTCTCAAATCACCATCTAACCCATTGTCTACTTCTCGCCAACCTTCAGACTTTTCTCGTCGAATAAAAACTTTCACCTCTCTATTATCATATTGCCCTAACGTAGTTAAATCAAAAAGTTCAAAAAATTTACATGTCGACTCTATACTCATTATACGCTCAGGAATAATGCATTTAACGCCTTCATTAACCTGAACCAGGAGATAGAGCATTTTTGAGAAAATTGATTAATGGGGCAAAAAAATGTATCTTTAAGCTTTTATTTCGTTATTTATTTATTTATTTATGTTTTTTTT